GGCTTGAATTCCTCGTTCCAATCGAACACATAGACATAGCTACCATGATGCGATAGAACCAACAATATGCTTTGGCTAAAGAAGATTATTTCTCACGACATGAACGAGCGCGCACGCACACTCCTCTTTTCGTTCACTCGGTGTTCTTAATTAATAGTGGTCTTTAGTTCAGTAATTCGTTTTAACTGACCTTTTTTCTCGGTTCTCATTCGGAAAGTTTCGCCAGAGTTGGAACTAAGAATGAACTTTCATTGTTTTTCCCTACAATTTTTGGAAAGCATGACCAGAACAAGAAGAATTGCTGAAAGAGAAAGACAGCGAAAGAGATAGAGTGAAGACATAGAGAGAAGAGATAGAGAGAAGAGATAGAAAAGAGATAGAGATAGAATAGCTCGGGGAAGAACAAAAAAGAATTTGAGTAAGAACTCGCATTCCAAACACTTTTTTTTGCAACGCCTTGTGTCTGCCACGTATACCAATTCTAATTACGTCATTTTTTAATTTTGAACGATCGTTTTCGTCAATTCTTTTTCCGTTTTATGAGTGATGCCCAGAAGCTGAAGTGAAGAAGATTTATGTGGAATGTCATCTGAGTTTTAGAAAATTTCAAATAAATTTCTATCGCTGAATCAAAGTGCCATTGTGTTGGAGCGATGGAGCGTGAGACCATTGCCACATTTTTTTTTCGCAACACAGCACATCAAAATCCAAAAAAAGACGAACACACATCAAAACGTAAAATCTGGAATTAAACATTGAATTCATACGAATGATTGATTGACTTTCACTCGTGCGCCATTTTGATTGATTTCACTCGGCTCGTGTTCGCTTCTTCTGGGCATATATTCAATTCGATTGTTTTCTTTCTCTCCATACGAGCTGTGAATGAACGAAGGAAAAAAACGTACTTACATATGCATTGCTGGCAGTACAGTACACATTTATGGATGTTATGTAAATGGTGGCAAAAGTATTTGGAATAAGTGAACACAAAAAACGCTTGAAATGGAATAGACCAATGCAAAAAAAAGAGCGAATAAAAAAGTAATTCTTCATCGCATTTCTATTTAAAAAAAATCTAATTAAAAATGAACAACGAAATAATTCAATCGATTGACGCAATTCGCAAGCGTTATCAAAATTCTGGACATTTTTTTGAATATCGTGGAATTTTTTAAATTACAAAAAAAAAACAGATGGATGAAGTAACGAAAAGAGTCGCGCGAGTCGTAAGTAAATAAATGACAAAAAACACAACAACGAACAAAAAAAGATCATCTTTTCAGCGCGCATATGTCATCGTGTCAACAAATACATTTTGTTTAATTAATTAATAACTGTATCGTGGAAAAAAAAACTGGATAAAACTGCGCCAATTGCGTATATATTTCATTTCAGTGATAATCCGGAAATGAACAAACCGTTCGCATTTTTGCACTTTTACACGCGGTCCATTGAATGGTGTGTGAATGCAAAAACATAAATTAAATAATCGCAAAATTGACCAGTCGAGAGATGCCAAACAATGGGATTTCCAGCTGTTAATATGTGGCTAGACGAAACAATATCGATTGTGATAACGTGTGTTTATTATTTTGATTCGATTGAAGTAAATTCGCAGTAATATTTGTCATTATAAAACAATTGCATGACGAAAATGAAAGAAATCTTATGATTCCGTGAAATAACCCATAGAACAACGTCATCTGAACTCTTACTATCTCTCCAGACTGTTCAATAACAGTCGCACTATATCGAAAAAACCATATAAAACTGTAAATTGGCAAACAATTGTTCGATATCTACGTAAATGGACAAAACACCTGTGTATAGATTGCAAATTCCGCAATCGTATACGCGACATTTCTCCTTTTCGAGAGGTGAAATATCTAGCTATTTACTTCAAAATCCCCCCTGGGAATCGAGATTGATTCAAACAAAAGCAGACACTTTGTGGGAACAGTAGATAAAAAGATAAATTTGACCGTTGGGTCATTCGTTTTGGCAATTTCGGTGGTTTTTGCCCACATTCGGCCACATTCCTCACGCAAAACCAATATTGGATTATTGGATGCAATTTTTAAATAACTAGTATTTGCTCGATCCACATTAGAGTGAAGTAATTTGTTGAAGTGCTGCGGCATATGAGCCGTATTTACAAGTAAAATAAATCCAATCAGTAATAATTATTTTGTCCTTGGAATGAAATTTACAATGCAGACATTTATGCAAACACGTACATCAAGATATAAATTGCTGTCTCTTGCATGAAATTCTCAATTGCAGAGTCGTATCGTCATCTACCACTACAATCAATCGAACAATGTGTGTACGCGCGCGAAAAGAGAGAATTATTTCGAAAATTGTCGGTAGTTTTTGGAATTTCATGTTGAAATCGATTAAAATGTGACGTTTCTGTCATTATTGTTGTTGCCGCAAGTTAATTTATGTGCGATGATGAAAGAGATGACGAAATGAGATGCATGTACTGAGTATTCATAGCGAGTCGCGCTCGCGCCCCATATGTGTGTACTGTAGCAGATTTTATTTTTGACGCGCTTTCAATAAAAGGTTTTTGCTAAGCGACGTCGACGACGGCGACAAATTGCAGCGCATAAGCCATTCGGTGCGGTTTACAAATTATTCAAGGAATCATTTGTTGTTGTTGAAATTTTGAGGTCATCACTGCTGCTTATGTTTATGAAAATGACTAAAAGGCACAGATTTCAATCAGATGAAACGCGTCGTCGCATTCATGGTTGCTCGTACTGTTGTTATTGTAGCCAGAGCGAGAGAGAAAAACACACACATGATTCACGTGTGACTGAATGCGAGTCGACAATGAAGGACAACATTTGCTAAGATATCGCTAAGTCAACGATTATTCTAGGTACACATTTTTTGTCATCACGTTGAAATTCGCATGCTTTTTTGGATTCATTTTTTTCGACGTTTCTCCAATAGATCTCCTTATCGGCAATCGCTATTAATTACTCTGAAAGGAGATTAGATAAAATTATCGATGTAAAAATAAGTGTGGTGGATTTTGATTCGAATTCCCTGTTTGTTGTCAGCAAATTGACGTGTGCGCGCGTCTATTCGTTTGATAAAATATCAAAAATATCAATCGATTAGAAGAGCGTTGACACGCGTCAATTATCAATTTGCATAATTGCAATGCATGTCATTCGTTATCAATGTTTCAATAACCGAAAATTTCTGGGAAAATATGCATGCTCGAAATTCATCCCTGGTTTCAATGTCGGTTTGGTGTGAAATTCAAATTCATTTATGAATCTTGTTTGTTTTTCCGCAAGTGGAACGTGCCGAATGAAAATCGAGAAATAATTCTAATCGCTCCTAAAAACGATAAATTCTCTTTCATTGTCATACAGTCGCAATTCACTCATTCTCATTTTGAGTACATTTCTACGAATATGCGAAAACATTTAGTCGAATCGAAAAGTCGCCTAAACGCATGTCAGTCGCCAAGGTTAGACCTTGATGAAATCTAAAAAAAAATGTGTTGTTTGTTTCGATTGGCTGTTAGAAAAGCGAAATAATGTACGAATCGAAATTATATTCAAAAGTCAATAGTTCAATTGAAAAAAATCGATCGATCGATCGATCGAGTGTGCCTCAGCTCACCGCCGCCGCCTCACATTTTGACTTAGTTTTCGATTTCGTTTTTGTTGTTTTTCGGCCATAATGTAGTGCAATTATTTTTCGGTATGTATCTGGGCGCACAATGCCTAGCTAATTAGCAAATGCGCACTTATTTATCGACGCATAGCAATGTTATATTTATAGACACAGCTGCAGACAGAATCGGTGTGTTTTGTCACGTTGTCACTAAGCTGGGTCAAAATAAAGTAACGAACGACAAAACATACACACACACACTACTTTTTGTTGACGTACGATTCATTTATAATTCATGTGAGTAGTTGCATTTGTCCGGGCCATATGTTTATCCCCACAATTAAATATTCCTTAAGGGACTCGGCCTATTCGATCGATTTGAAAGTTTCAATTTTAAACCGAACGAAAAACTAAACTTAATTGATGTTTCGCGGACGATATCTATGATTTAAAATTCATTTGAAGATAGAAAAACCGTGCTTCAATCAAACTTTGAAGACACGAAAATATGGGAATCAATAAAAATTGAGGGAAAAAGAACATTGCTGCAGTTGCTCTTTAATTTGAAGTCATTCAAATTAGTAATTTGGCGGCAATTCAGCAAAAGACTAAGATTCAATATGCGGGACGATGAAAAAACCAAAAACACACACAAATCTAAGCGCCATGTAATCAAAAGGTTGCCTGAAATCAATACGTCTTTTTACCACATAGCACTTAATGATTATATGTGCACTTGTGCATGTAAGCCAACTCCAACAGTGAGCACACACACACACATCTAAAGAAAATAGGTTGTAATTAATCACATAGGCATGGTGAAAATAAAAACCACGAAGAAATAGTTGCGTGCAATGAAAGTTGAAACGACTTTACCCTTTTTCAATATATATTCGTACTTCTGTTCAAGGAAAAGAGAAGGGTAACACTGAGTTTGCCTTAGAGTTGCTGTTTTCATTTCCGAATGACAGAATTTCATTTTTTTTCTAGGGTGAAACTTGAAAAACTTATGACGAAACGTTGGAGAAAATAAAGAGAACAGTAAACTAAGGACGGAAATAACAATTGCAAACGATTATTTTATTGAAATTGTATGCTGCTTTGATTTCACCACAACATTTAGCTTTGTATGAAAGGAAAAAAAAGTTCTTTTGATTTGCATTTACCTTGTTTCAAAGCGAATGAAAAAAAAAGTCTTAAATTCAATGGAAAACGAAAAAAATTATACTAATTCAAACCAACTGAACGAACTTTCAGTGAAAACAAAAATTTTCACCATAGTCATTTTTACTTGTGTTCATTTTCAATTGTTTTTTGTTTTTGTTTTAATTGTGCATTTTTCTCTATTTCCATTTCAGTTCGCAGTCAAATTACGCCAGCCCGTGGCAATGGACAAAAGTGACAGCAACCGGTGAATGACATACGGCTGATGCTCGCAAAGATGCAGCTCCAAATTTATCAACAAGCGAATTGTCGACATATCTTCCAGGCACCAATGATTTCCACAATTTTCAGCAGCTCATGACTAACAGCAATGCAACGTCCGGCAGTAATAATGCGGCGAAAAATCGTATGCAAAACATGACGCTAGCGAACGAAGGTGGTGGCGGCGGCAGCAGCCGCAATAATAGTGGGCCAACGGGTAGTAATAATGGAAAATCATTTCAAATGCCATATCCATTTTTACCGCCGCCACAAACACAAGCGATGTGCGCTCAAAATCCGATGTCACCCACCACATCACCGATGTTACCACCATCAACAGCGATGGCAAATCAATCGAACATGGCCAGCGTACAACATTCACCGGGCATGGCCAATACACGGCCATTCTCAATGGATCGTGTGCCCGGCACCAATATGGAATCAAACAACAATCAAACATCGAAACAATCAAATTCTGCGGATCAAAGTACAGCACAGCAGCAGCAGCAGCAACATCAACACAATTCCATGCTCTCACCAACCCGACATCTTCCATTTCCTTATAATAATCTCAACCAGTTTCACCGCAACTTCTGAGCATTCACAAAATAACAAAGAAAAAACCGAAACAATTTATTTTTCCATTCTTCAAAGTTATTTAAGTTTTGAATATAAATTGAGATTAGAGAACTGAGAATAACATTGTATTAGTAATTTCAAAGTGACCGAAATGTGAGAGTGGGACAAGCAAAAACACAAAATGTTCACATTGTAGATAGCTATAGTTATCCATATGTATTGGTCTGAAACGGAAAAATTTGCATATAAATGAAGGAATGATTAAATGTAAAAGATACGGTCAATTCAATGTGAAATGTAATTTTATGTTGAATTGAAGCCACAATGAGCTAGAATACAAATACGGAAAAATGTTCCATTTGAAAAAAGGGAAGAGGTTAAATATGAGCCACCTTCCTTCTTTTTTTTTGTTGAAGTAAAAATTGAATTGATGACATATAATGAGAGAGAAAAAACATTTACGACATGCAATTGGAATGGTATTAATGTGTATGCAATGACTTAGTATCGTTCCCTCACCATTCTTCAATCACCTACCCTCCTCCTCCTCCACCTCATTCTGTGTATGTTCTGTCTTTGCTAGTCTAGAAAATAATTTATTGTACTAGTTGTAACATGAAATTGATATTTAATTGATACGAACATATATGAAGTGATTGAAGTATACATGTAAAAATGAAGAGAAAATGCTTTAACAAATGAATTTATTGACAATTTACTGAAAGCATAGCACCTAAAGACTTTTTTTTTGGTCAAAACATTATTGAATCCGTTGAGTTCTCGTCTCAACATTAAAAACAAGAAAACAATAAAAAAAACTCTTTCTGATTGAAAGTTCAGAGTTCAGAGTTCAAAATTGACACAGTTGCAATAAGTTTTTTTGAAAACACAACCAACAAAATTGTTTCTTTATCTTTCAAAGTAATTATAATTTATATGGATATTAAAATTTAAGCTAGGAAAATGCTTATGTCAGCCCAAACGCCACCCGTTGAGTGTGTGTGGATCCATGATTGGAACAGAACAGAACGGAATGGAATTCAAATTATTACTAACACACACTCCAATCACATGAGCAATTACAAAATCGGATAGGATTAAATGTTACAGAATCCGGATTATCGAGAACCGATTCAAATATCTCCAGCAAACCACTTGAATAATATTAACAATATTAATAGATCGGCAAAATCGCTGTATGTGTATAAAGTTCCTCAAAACAGAAATAAAAAAAAATTAAACATAATATTGATGTAAACACTACTAGAAATATCGCTAGCCTATAGATTTATTGCAAGTATCTGCAGGAAGAAAGAAAAAAAAAACAAAACAAAAAAATACCTAGATGAAGAATTGTATGATAAATAGACAAAAGAAAAGTTACTGTATATGCATAAATTGATGAATTAATTTTATTTGAAAATCTTCAAAATTTATTAAAAAAAAAAAAACAAAACACAACCATACACACACATCTATCATAAATAAATCAAAATCAATGATGACAAAACAAGAAGAAAAATATGGAATAAACTCTCTATGAAGAATTTTCTCATTTCCACATGTTTATTAGTTTGTATCTCCGTTTCTAATAAATAACATTTAAAAACAAAACCAACCGAAAATAAAAGGAAAAAAATTATTAATATGAAAATGATAGAACATTTGTTTCAATTGCCTAAATTAGACATTCATCAGACATTCGACGTCACACACAGTGAGCCATATTATTTTGAGATTAGTGAAAATATTATCAGGTAATATTTCGTTGATATCGGATGAAATGCTGTCATTATATCATCATCATCAGTGATGGACTACGCAATCAAGAATGAATCTACAACGATTCATGGCTTCCAATGAATTTTGCTTACACAAGAGCCTTTCACGGAATCGTCTCTCGTTATCAATGAGTCATGCGGATGGAGGAAGGTTTTTTCATTGCTACACGTCACATCCGTACGGGTTTGTAAAACGTTTTTTACAACACTTTTTCGTCCAAAAAGTAATCGAAAATTCTAGCCTATTATCGGCCCACAGACAATTATAAAACGATAAAACGACAATTTTAAAACTTGAATAATTCATCTGTAATCGGAAATGGGTTCGTTTATTTTCCACAAAATCGAAACGATTTATTTTGAAGGGATGATAGGTGTGCGGGTGTGTATGTATGCACTGGCGAATACGTAAGTATTGAATCCATTTACTTGATACAAAGAAACGATGTCATGTCGACTTTTCATTTATTAATTATACTATTTCGTTCTTTGTTGAATAATAACCTTAAATGTGTTACATAATGAAAGTCCATTCGTGCACTTCCGATGTTCGTTCCATGTAATGTACTGGGCTTGAAAATGTGTCTAAAATTAAACGACTCGATGAATTAGCACAAGGCAAAAACGGCGTTGAAAAATGAATAAAATAAGTCTGAAGAAGTAAATAGTTGCCATGCACATTTGATGAAAAATTGATGAATTAACTGGCGGATAGCGATGCGATACATTGTGTGCGCTATGCGCTCATTGTGTGTAATACGATGTGAAAATCAATTGTTGGCATGGTCATTGGAAAACCAACGAAATATAAGACAATGTTATTACTGGCCCAAATGGGATCCATTCTTTCAATCCACAGCGAATATGATTCCATGAACTAGCAATTTCGAATGGTCCCACTATATTTATCTTGGCATATAGTGCTTTACATGCTGAGCGAGCACTTTATTTAGATCCAATAAAGGCCATTAAGAATCGAGATTTCATAGCGTGAAAACGTATCAACAACTGAGCGAACGGAAAATGAAAACTAATATCTATCAATCAACATCACCCCATCCTGAAATGGGATTCTCCGTCACATTGAAACGGGTGGATGTAATTACGTATATTATTCTTACTTGAAGAAAAAAACTCTGCGAAAACCGAGAAAACTTCGAGATGCTCACCATGGCGAGACACATTTCTGTTAAAGTGCTGCATAATCATCAGAAATCTCATATTTTACACAGACGAAAAATTCTAAATTAAAAATGAAATTCCTTCATTCTTTTCATTTTCTTCCTTATCCAAGCTTCAAATATTGGATGCAAACGTTTGAGCGACATATCGATTCTTCATTCTGACCCCTGGCAGGAAACTGTTGTGATTTTAATACCAAAAAATTGAAATGAAGAAAAATGTGTGAGCAGAAATATTGCGAACAATGTCTCATGCTGGTGGCTAAAAGTGCCACATCATAATGTTATGTAAAATTTTTGGACATTTCTTTTTTCTATCTCTCTCCCGTACATTGTAATGTGTTCCATCCATCCAACACTCTGTATGAATCGTTGTAAAACTTTTCATGACAGTGACAGCAGCAACGCAAAAAAAAGAACGAACCAAAAAAATTACACAGTCCAAATATATATGTATGGCCATATAATACACATAATTCTTGGATCAAATCGTACAAAACAGAACCGCATTGTAGAAAATGTGTATTTTGACGAATAATATCGATTTTTTGCGTGCCGTTCTGAGAGTGAAGTCAGTACACTGGGTGTAGAGAAAGAGAGAGAGAGAGAGAGTGCGGTGGTGTGTGGATGTGTGCATGCATTTGTGTGTGACCCGGAGAGGTCGACGTCATAGCGATTCGATGCACGCATGCGCTGAATTACTCGTCGTGTTTTTACTACTTTCCGTTTTCAGTCTTTGACTGTTTCGAGTATTACTTTCTTACGTTGGATGTGAATTACGGTTGGGCTAGCAAAGCGGAAAACAAAAAATTTTCCATGCAATACATGCACACTTGCATACACAGGCACACACATACACACATATCTTCCACAAATTCGAGTGAAATATTGCCGCTCACAATGGACCCCAATGGAAGAAGACACGGAGCGGAACACCAAAGATGTATAAAAAGACAAAAAAAAAATAAAATAAAATCCAACATACATGTTTGTAATGGATTGTGCTAACATCGTTAAAAGCATTTTCCTCTTTCGTGAAAATACGTACACTTACCACGAGATAAAATGAGAAACAAAATCTCAATAAATATGCTTACAAGCTTAGCAAACTTTTCACTCTCTTGAAGTGTACAAAGTGTTTGTTGGATTTTATTGCAAAAAAATCAACCAACAAAAGAAAATGTTATGCCAAACCGCTTGTCTCTTGTGTACAGTGAAAACACTGTTCACACTTTCACACGGAAGTATTAAGAAGAAACTCAAGGAAATTTTGTAGGCTTGAGCAAAAACCAACTAGGCCGTTTCTTTGTTATTGCACAACACATTTGTCTTCGATCGATTACCCGTTGTTCGATTAATTTAGAGCAATACATTTCATTTCTGCTTCATCATGCTATATCTGCTATATCTGAACAACGCCTTCTATCACTCACTCTATCACATTGTACGGCATATTGGATGGTGTATGATGACTCTAACGAATATCCAACGTAATTTAATTAGTAAATGTTCAAAGACTGAGCGCCTGCTGCTTTATTGCCTGTTCTAAAGTTAACGATAGATTTCAGGCGACGCAGGCACACACATTTCATTTCAGAAAATGGAACGAAATAAATTGTTATGGTTCATTATTACAATAATTTTATGTGTTGTGTCGATTTTTCCGTAAATGGATTCCAATCGGTGGATGTAGGAATTCAATAGAAAATGATGATGCAAAGTCTTTTTCTGGAAAATGGTATGACTTTGATACCAAACTTGTACTTTTTCTAAAATTAATCTTCAACTCAATCGATAAAATCCTAAACTAGAAAATGAGTGTTCTTTCAATGAGTGTACAAATGTTTGAAAATAAAATTTCATGAGCATTGAAATATGGAAATTTTTCGTTAAAATTCTCGTTTTTATCGTTTCTTTCTCTCTTGCTCCATTTCTCTATTCTTTTGTCAACACCAATTTCATCGACCGAAAAGAATTATAATTTGTTTCATTCCATTCCATTTCCGAGGCCTTAAAACACACAAGGCTGTCGCATTACGCATTCAATATATTTACGTCATTTGAATTACGTGTCATACCAATTTCTTCTATCCATAGCTTTTTCAAAGAAAAATAGAAACAAACAAAAATAAAATGGAGCACATAAAGACGTAAATTTTCCTTTTGACTATAAAAGAAACAACAACAATAACCATGTAAATATGAGTATTTTTGTGTGACCTTTTTGGATTTAATTTCACGCCCATACAAAATATGATGGTGTGTGTGTGTGTGTTTTGTTGATTTTTATGACCTTTTTTTTATTATCAATGCTATTTACCATCAAGGATAAGTGGGTTTTCGAAGAAAAAGCTAGGGGCCTCACGCCAATTTCCATATTTAAAATATGAACAAATAATATGAATTTGTTTATGTTTCAACATATTAAACAGATATGTATGCATAATTTCAATTTTGCTCAATTTTGTTCAATAAACCGACTGTCAGCAGAACCATTTCCAATCTGTTGACGTCATTATCGCTTCGAAAATTCTGGAAGTGGGTTTTGGTGGATCCTCAGGATTGTTCAAAACCGCTCCTGGTTCTGGAAGTGGATCCCCAGGATTGACCAGGGCATTATCAAACCCAGTCTGATCCATCCTGAAGATCCACCAAAACCCACTTCCAGAACCGGGAGCAGTTTTGAACGATCCTGAGGATCCACCAAAACCCACTTCCAGAACATATTGTTCAAGGTGAATATGAACAATAACAACGCATTCGGGAAATAATACAAAATATTTAAAATCTAGCTTGAATTTTACATGATTTAAATAATACAAATAGATTTCGCTAAATAAAATTTGGCATGAATCCCCTAGAGAAAAAGTATGTGAAGGATTTTTGAAATTATCAAAAATGATTCAAACTTTTAGTTGAACGCCGATACGTATACATTGAGACCAAACCAAATCAAAAGAAAAATCGATTTAATTTGTTCAATGGAAACGTACTTGATTGTGGCTTGCAACACCTTGCTTGCCAAAGGATTGAATTCACACGAATTGAATTATGTTGTTTTGTTTTATTTAGATCTATTTCCGTCACATCTGTTGAATGATATCAAGTGATACTGCGCGGCAAAGTCCATTTCAATAGAAGAAAACGCTGAATTGAATTGTGCCCAGCCAGAATGACAAGTTCTATGTAGAAAAATGATAAATGGCATTACATTTCCGTCTAAATAAATGCTATGATTAACGACCGCCAGAGTAAAGGATAATGTAAAATGAGCACAGCCAACGCGCTCACCACTGTATATAATAGCACACTTTTAATTTTGCACCAATGGCATTTGCCTTGCCACTCTCCATATCGCAATTTTTCTCACCAGCCACATTAATAATAATCGATAATAATTGAATCGAATCAATATAAGTTATGGCATAGAAAGAAAAAAATGTGGCTCATGTGTGTAGTTGGTGTACTATAAATAAGTTGAACTATATACTGTTGTCTATCTAGAATTGGTTTCGCAATCATTTCGACGATTTGCGTCACATGCGCCTACATTTCTATAG